TGTCTTTTTTTTGTTTAAAAAGTATTTTTTCTGTTCCTGGCCTGATTGTTTTGGGCTTTGTGAAGTGTTTTGCAATAGATCCACCTCCACTGATACCTTGTGGATTCGACCAAAAGTTCTGTGGGGTTTGTTAAAATTTTGTTGTTGTGTTCCTTGTGCATGGCATGGTCCTGGCCTGAACGTTACTGGTTTCATAAAGTGTTTTGCAACAGATGCAACCTCCCCCCCGTGGTGGCTTGTGCTTATGGATTAAAAACAGATGCATCTGTTGTGACAGCTCACGGCTGAAAGGTTTTCTTTTTGTGGGGTTTTTTTTTTTGGTTCAGGTCTGTGTTCATCCATACAAAGGTTTTTAACCATATGTCACAATAGCTTGAACTTTAAAAAAAATGTTTTAAGTTTGTCCTTGATAAGGTAGAAACTATAGTGATTGCTCTGATTTGAAAAAGAAATGTTTGTGTTCTCATGACCAATGGATGTTAAGCATGATGGATTTGGAATATTTTTTTTCTAAGAATCGTGCTCATCTATCTAAGCAATGCCAGAGACCCAATGAGTTTGCTCAAATACCCAGCAGGCAAATTGGGTTGGATTTTTAAAATAATGTTAATGCTGGAAAAGTGTCTTTTGATTTGATGGTAGACTGCATAATACGAAGTGATGAATTTTTAATGATAGCATGGCTTTTACTTTAACCTAACTTTACCTAATTTTTACCCCCCTTATCATTTGGTATAATAAGAATGCTTTGAAAAGAAGAGAAATTGTTTCATTTATCATGCACAATTGCTCACAAGTTCCCTGATTTTATTACATTATTACATCTATGCTAACAGTTGCATGTGTGTGAAAGCCCTCAAAGATAGTGTTTTGATGTGTGTGTATGGTAGTGCATGTGGAGATATGGCTAGTCATTGTTGTTGTCGGGTGAGAGGGGAAGATTCTGGTAATAAATAATGGTAATGGTTATGTTCTTATAAATTCTACAGGATTGAGGTTTGATTTTTTTTTTTTTTACAATGGTAGACATTATTGGTTTATTAATCCACCGAGAAAAATATTGCCAAGCAGATAATAATATGTTTATTTACGTGCTGAGAAGACTTTGCTTTTTAGTGCAAAATGATAAATGCTTACTGTCAGGACAGAATTATAGATATTAATATTATATTACTATATTATTACTATAGTATTGACACTTTTTAATAATAATATCATAATGTAATATGTTCCAATAGCCCACGTTCTACGGGATTCTGTTACTTAAATCTTCCTTTTCCTGGAAGTATGCGCTGTTGTTCCTTTTGATTGAGACAATTTACCTCGGATGATAGACGACCATGGGGAAAAAACGAGGCAGCATGTAACATTCTCTTTTTTCTTCTCTATCCGTCTGTCTGTCTGATTTTTTTTCATACTTTCATTCACATCTAAAAACGTTCACAAACTAGAGCACACACGTGTTGGTATGATGCGCACATACCTGCAAAAGTACACTGGCAGTTTTTATATATATCACCTGACGAACACACATGCGCACACTCTCGAACACACACCCACACACACACACACCCACACACACACACACACACACACACACACACACACACACACACACACACTTAATTTGAAAAAAAAAAAAAGT